TGCACAAAAATGCACTTATCATGTTTCATCACTGAGAAGGAAGGAGAAGAAATCCCAAACCAGGTATCAGAAGTAGTCAATCAATTTTCTGGGGTATTTGAGGAACCAAAAGGGTTGCCACCCCCTCGATCCCATGATCACCATATTCCCTTGAAAGAAGGTACTCAACCCTTCAAAATCAGGCCATATAGGTGCCCTTTCATACAGAAATCAGAAATTGAAAAACTGGTTAAGGAGATGCTGGATAGTGGCATAATCAGGCATAGCAACAGCCCTTTCGCATCCCCAGTCCTCTTAGTCAAAAAGAAGGATGGGTCATGGCGATTTTGCGTGGATTACATGCAGCTAAACAACCTCACTGTGAAGGATAAATTCCCCGTGCCTCTGATTGATGAACTTTTGGATGAATTGAATGGGTCAAAGTTCTATTCTAAAATCGACCTCAGGGCAGGGTACCACCAAATCAGAGTCACAGATGTTGACACTCCTAAAACTGCTTTCAAAACTCACCATAGGCTATACGAGTTCAAGGTCATGCCATTTGGCCTCACAAACGCTCCTGCCACCTTCCAGAGTCTCATGAATGAAGTTTTCAAGGACCAGTTGAGAGACTATGTACTGGTGTTCTTTGATGATATCCTGGTTTACAGTAAAGACCTAACCTCCCACTGCCACTATCTCAGATCAGTACTAGAAATCCTTCAAAATCACCAATTATATGCCAAAAGGTCTAAGTGCAGCTTTGGATAGACTCAAGTGGAGTATTTGGGCCATATAATAAACCAACATGGGGTGTTAGCGGATCCTGTAAAGGTGGAGGGAATGAGACAATGGCCTTTGCCAACTAACCTCAAGCAATTAAGGGGGTTTCTGGGACTTACAGACTACTACCGAAAGTTTGTGAGAGGCTATGGAATCATAGCCAAGCCTCTCACTGACCTACTGAAGAAGGACAACTTCCACTGGACAGAAGCAGCTGATATTGCCTTTGTCGCATTGAAAGAGGCAATGAGTTCTACCCCAGTGTTGGCTTTACCTGACTTCAACCAACCTTTTATAATAGAAACAGATGCTTGTCAAGGTGGCATAGGTGCAGTGCTAATGCAAGGAAGTTGACCCTTGGCTTACCTAAGCAAGGCAATTGGGATACGAAACCTGGGGCTATCCATTTATGAGAAGGAGTTGCTGGCCCTAGTGACTGCGGTTTGCAAGTGGAGACAATATTTAGAAGGCCACCATTTTGTGGTAAAAACTGACCACCAAGCCCTCAAATACTTGCTTGAACAACGAATTACAACCCCACTCCAGCAGAAATAGCTCACCAAATTACTCGGCCTCAGTTATGAAATTATCTACAAAAGGGGAGTGGATAATGTGGTGGCAGACGCTCTATCGAGGAGACATGAGGGCGGTCCTGTATGCTCAAGCATTTCGATAGTTACTCCTGCTTGGATTGAGGAAGTCATTGAGAGTTATAAGGGGGATAAGGTAGCAGAAGAGAAAATCCAATCACTGATCATAGACCCCAAGGCTGACATTGACTTCAGCTATGAAAATGGACTTCTGAAGCACAAAGAGAAGATGTATATTGGGATTGGAGGAGACATCAGGTCTGAGTTAATACATAATTTACATGGCTTCCCAGAAGGAGGCCACTTCGGCATTCACAATATCCTTTATCGAGCAAAGCAGTTTTTCTTCTGGCCAAAGATGAATCAGGAAATTAGGCAACTGGTGCTGCAATATGAAGTGTGCCAGAGGTGCAAAGGGGAGCACGTTCCTTACCCAGGGCTGCTACAACCATTACCCCAACCACTGCACTCTTGGAGCCATATAAGCATGGACTTCATCGAAGGGTTGCCCACCTCAGGAGGGAAGAACACTATTCTGGTAGTGGTTGATAGGTTCACAAAATATGGGCATTTTCTGGCTATGACTCACCCTTTTTTCAGCTTCGACAGTGGCTCAACTCTTCCTCGACAATATCTACAAGCTACATGGGATGCCCTAAAGTATAATATCTGATAGGGACAAGGTCTTTACCAGTAAATTCTGGCTGGAACTTTTTAATCTGCTTGGCACTAAGCTTCACTTCAGTTCTGCCTACCATCCTCAAACAGATGGACAAACGGAGAGGGTCAATCAATGCTTAGAAATGTACCTACGTTGCTCAATTTATCACCACCCTAAGCTGTGGGGAAAGTGGTTGGCCTTGGCTGAATGGTGGTACAATACCACCTATCACACGGTCATTCGGATGTCTCCCTTCGAAGCCTTATATGGGATGAAAGCACCTCAACTGGCATTGGGGCCCTATCAGCAATCGAATGTGGCTGCGGTAGATGACCTGCTTCAGGAAAGATACAAGCTGGATCATCTACTTAAGGAAAATATCTCACAGGCCAGAGCTCGAATGAAACACTATGCTGATAAAAATCGAACAGAAAGGTCCTTCGAAGAAGGAGACTGGGTTTTCCTTAAGCTGCACCCTTATGCCCAGCAGTCTATCGAACGCAGAGTCAATCATAAGCTAGGAGCTAAATATTATGGCCCGTATCAGATTACTAAGAAACTTGGAGAAGTGGCTTATCAGTTGGCTTTACCTGAAGGGTCAAAAGTCCACCCTGTATTCCATGTTTCTCTACTGAAGAAACAACTTGGGGATAAGATTATTCCCATCCTGCAGCTACCTAAAAGGCATAATACTCTCCAACCAGAACATCACCCCCTCTCTATTTTACAAACACGATCTGTACAACGCAGGAATCAGGTGGCAGAACAATGGCTTGTGCATTGGTCAGACTCTTCCCCAGAAAGTGCCACTTGGGAGGATGCAGATTGGGTTAGACGCCATTTTCCTATTGATGGATCTTGGGGACAAGATCAAGGTGAGCGGGAGGATTGTTATGGGAGAGCTACCTGGGGCAGGAAAGGTAGAAGGAGCAAGGGAAGAAAACCAACAGTAAAATCAGAAGGAAAGGAAGAAGAGAAGGAGGGAACTAAATCACCGAACTTTTGAATTGGAACGACGTCGTCTGGTACTAAGCAAAACGGTGTCGTTTAGTTATGTTAAGTTTTCAATTAAAGTTGTAATAGTTTAAAAACNTCCTGTTAAGCACGTTTCTTCTTCAACTGGTATATATATATATATATATATATATATATATGCTATGTATACACAGCAGAGGTACGTGAAATTTGTTATGAAATTCAGTTAGTAGTGGAGTGAATCTGAAATTCACTCTATTCCTCATCTCCTCTCTCTTTTATCGTTTCCCCCATTTCTGTTACTTGTGTGAATCTGTTGCTGGTTTCAGCTGAAATTAATTGCAGAAATCGGAGTTGGAGTCCCAGTCGTGACAACCTAGTTCCTGGATGAAAACCCACGACCATTCGCCTCCAGATCTTCAAATGCTCGATTTTATTTGAATGTGAAAGTCGGGACCAAATTTGGGGTTCATGTTCGGTTCGATATGGAACCCGAATACAGCCTGCAAGTACATATTTTCTTGAATTATTTGATTATATGTTGTTAATCCAATTCGCCGATCAAAAATTGATTTTGTTCCTACTAGAATTTTACTAGAAATGGGTCAAAAATTGATTTTGTTTCTTGTGTGGTGTGATTGACAATGGTGGTGTCAATGGTTTGTGATGGGATTGACATCGTGGTGCAGTGGTTTGTGGTGCATTTGAGGCGGCGGCGTTGGGTAGCATTGGGTGGTGTTGGTGTTGGGAGGTGCTGTTGGCTGGGACGATTTTCAGGGGCTGGGTGGGGTGGGGTTTGGGAAGGAGATGACAGTAGCCCTTTTTTCTTTTCTTTTATTTTTTATATTAAAATTGTAAAGTTACCATTTTACCCTTGTTACATTTGGTAAAATTTTACTATTGTGGTCAACTAATGGTCAAATAGACAGTTTAGGATTTTTTATCCATTTGGACCCCAACTGCATATTTTTGAAATGTTTGGGACTGTGGTGTCACAAAATGAAAGTTAGGGTAAAGTCTACTAAAAAGTGAAAGATTAGGGATCGTTGTTGTAATTTTCCCTTTAAAATATACTCGTTTATTGTTCGTTTTACTTTTTTATTTAATATTTTTAAATACAATATTAAAAATATAGTAGAATACAAAATAATATATGGAAGGGGACGGTGTGGGAACCATATTTTCCATCCTAGTTACTAAACGAGGTGGGAATTCCGTACCTGTGGGTGGGCAGGTAATTTTGCTACCCCTAAAACCTTGGGTCCTTTCGGATAATATTTTATCAAAGAATTGTTATACTGACATTACAATTTTACTTGTTTCCCTATTTCCAATTGCACTAAAATGTCTTCAATTTTGCTTATTATCGCATTTATATTTTCAATTTTGTATCACATTGTTTTCTTCAACCTTTCATATATTTACATAAACAAAAAATAATAAATAAAAAAAGTATATTTGCCTCTAATTATAAAACATGATAACAAAATACACAACAATTGAAAGACCTTCACGGCCATTTAAAAGTGACGCAGCGAAACAATACAGGCTCGTCAATATAACCCGATCATCAAATTTTGTTAAATTTAGTGAAAATCATGCTACATGTACAACATTGGTTGACAACATCTTATTTGGCATCACCATAACTATCTATTTTAAAAAATTGTTTTCTACGTCACATACTAGAATTTTGAGAACATATGGTTGTCAACCATTGTTGTCATTCAATGTTGTACACTTAGATTTATTCTTTAGTGAAACCCCCCATCATTCTCTTCTCTCACCTTCAGTTCTCATTTGAAATGCAGTATTCTAAAACGGGAGAGTCTTGTGGAAAAGTCCCTCCAGAACTGTCTAGACACCCTTACCTCATAGAAATGTAAGTGCATCCCCTTTTTCTGTAGAACAGACACACAAATATAATACAATTAACTAACTTAGCTGTCAATCAATTTGAATGTCATTTTATACAGTGATCTCACTCGCAACTACCTTAACGGCACTATCCCTCGAGAATGGGGTACCATGCAACGACTTGTAAACATGTATGGCGTTCTTCACCTCCCTCAATGCTTTCTTTCTGTAAATTCATTTTTTGTGTGTGTGTCTTTATGAGTGTGTGCTTGTGTATTTGTAAAGCAGTACTAAAATAATTTTGGTTCCTTGCAGTTCCCTACTGGGAAATCGTGTAACTGGTGGATTACCAATCGAACTTGTCAACATCAGCACTCTCTTAAATCTGTAAATTTCTTGATTATGCACTGTGATTTACCCTCTTTTATAATGGTATGTGAATGAAACCATGATTCAATGTATATGTCATTTAAGATTTCCTTGCTTTCTGAAAAACTTACAGAACCCTAGACTACAATCAATTGTCGGGAAATATTCCGCCGCAGTGGGATTTTTCAAGCCTAGAGAAATTGTAAGGCCCTTTATTGAAAAATTATCTTTGAATCAATGCGCTCTGTAGTTTCTCGGATGATTAAGGTGGATTGATTGATTGTTGTATTATGTTAATATTTGAAGATCTCTAATATCAAACAATTTAACTGGGGAATTGCCTCAATCTCTAGCGAAGTTGACTACAATGAAGGACTTGTGAGTTCCTCCTCATTTTTTTCTCCATTTTTGTGTGTTCTTGTTTTCTAATTTATAACACACATATGGTTTGATCTTTATGTTAACTCCATAATTGTATTCATAATGCAGCCATATAAGTGACAACTTCTTCGGTGGAAACATACCCAATTTTATCCAGAGCTGGACAAATCTTCGAAGATTGTGAGACAATATATATTTCGTAGTCTCTTTGATCTTTCATTTACATTTTCCTCCAGTTTTCTATTTCATTAATCCCTG